TCCCCTCTGAAAAACTTCCAGGAGACAGACAGACAGACAGACAGACAGACAGACAGACAGACATTCAAGTTTAAGTGATAAAATCTTCAGTAACAAATTGAGGTGTGCTGAGATTTGTGTACTGGCTGCTGCTTTATTCCTCCCTTTGTGCAAAACAAATCAGGAGGAAGCTACAGTCATCCGTATTTCCTCAGGTATGTGAATCAACAGCTGTATATGTAAAGAAATCACAGTTACTACTGAACTAGAAGTCTGGAAAAACCCCTAATTCTGAATACAGGGTTGGTTCTCTGCATGTGTTCAAATTCTAACTTGGTACATTTTCTCTGTCATGAGTCATCTCCCCATCTCAGGAAGTGCAAACAATTTAGATTTGTTAACATTCTGTGTACAAGGGAGTAGTCCTGGACATTCCCAGAGAGTATGTTATCTTCAGTTCTGTCAAAACATTGTACAGGATATGACTGTTGATTACTCATACTTATCCAGGATAATGCATTACAATTAAAGCTATACTTCTGTCCCAGTCTCCCTACTTTTTAAAAATTATTACTCTCTGTTTTAGCAGTCCCAACTTTCATATGGAAGCTCAAACATAAGCCTTCTCTGTATACAAAATGCATGCCAAGCATGTATTGCCACTTGCCAAATTCTCAAAATATACATGGTCACCTACTAATATTATCACAGTGCAGTTTGACTATACACATAACTGAAGCATTGGCATGAGAATGCATTACTAGGTGAAAGTTACAACATTGGATAAGTCAAAGGAGTAACTTTCATTGCTTAAGCTTTAGTTTGCATATCCTACACTTACCTCATGGCAAGTAACATTTAGCTAACAGTGTAGCTAATTTTATTTTATTTTCATTAACTTGTATTTATTTTGAAGAGCACATCATCTGCTCAGCCATAAAAAGAGATAGGTTAGTTCAGAGTAGGCAACCTGATGCTCTTCATCCAGATGCTTTGGGCTTCAAATCCCATCCATTTCAGCCAGCACCCTAATCCAGGGTCAGCCATGAAGTTAGTGTAGCAACAGTATTTTCCTAGTTATGCAATTTTTCTTGCTGTGGATAAGTGCAACCATGTTATTGCTAAAACTGCTATGTTTTAGGTATATGGAATCATACAACTGATATCAATTTTAACATAATATTCAGTATGAATGTAATATTCTTCTACTGAAATTCCCGTTGTTGCATGATTATTACTGCATCTAAATTCTGCATCCAATAATCATATGATCTTGACTTGTCCAGTTTCTGGATCATACTTCTTCAGCAATTTCTAAATAAGACCCAGAAGATGCTTGAGTTACATAGTATGATTTAAAACTCGGTCACATCTGTTAAGATTCCCCCCCTTATTTCTCAAATTATTTTAATTCTGTACTTATTTGAAAATATTGAAACTAGTCACATAGATTAAATCAAGTAGGACCCGCAAATATTTTATCTTTTTTTATTAATAATAAATTTTGCAATCTAATTAATTTTCTTTTCACTGAGCAAATGTCTTTATGCTTTTCTCTTCATCAAATAAACCTTTAATACAATAGCAAGGGGGGGGAATGCTGTACATATTTATTTTCCTTATTTATCCCAGGCATGCAATACATTATTATTGCATGATCAGCTATAAATTGTTTATTTTGATTTGAACAAATCTAGACATAGTTGTGCAGACTGCCTGGAGGTTCTACCCCTTCCGTACAGGTGGCCAAGTGCTAAGGAGATACAGTCCCCTTTGTAATCCATGCTAAGCAAGTGACATGAAATTACAGTATAAAATTGGAAGCGACTCAAATTTTGCAAAATCATTTTATTGTACTATATGTAGTCCATGTACTTGTGCTGTATATGTAAATATTTCTTTTTTATGCATATCTATTGTTATATTTTTCCAGATCTGAGATTTGAATTGTTATATCTCATGTTTGTGTGCATACATATAAACAAGCAGTAGCAAATAGATGTTAAATCAAATGTTTCAGCAAGGTTTATTTCATCCATATTCTATTTTCAATCCTGTTCAAAAATTGCTTCATCAAAAACCAATAACCCTCATATTTCCCATTTAATAAATTCAGTTCTAATCTCAGTTCAAACCAGTTTGTCTGCTTTTGCAAAAAGGTTTTTGCAAGAGGTTTGGCTACTCAGTGGCAGAATTTTATATAGACAATTTTCTATGTTTTTCTAATCTTTTCTAGAACAGCTACAGAGCAAAGTAGCTCATATGCTCTGAATGTACCACATTTCCCTGAAAATGAGAGCAGGTCTTATATTATTTTTGCTCCAAAAGATGCATTAGGGCTTATTTTCCCGTTAGGACTTATTTTGGGGGAAATACAGTACTAAAATGTGTCTGTCTTAATTGATTTTCTTAACTGGGGCTCATTTTTGGAGGGGGGGGTAAGGCTTATATTAAGACCATCCTGAAAAATCATGCTAGGGCTTATTTCTAGTTGGGTCTTATTTTTGGGGAAACACAGTAGAAAGCTGTAGATTTGATCCCTTATTTTTCTAAGTAGGTGAAGAGCTACTTGCAATGCTAACTAGCTCCAGTATCTCTCTGCATGGAGTAGAGTATTTGCTACACTTGATACTCTAATAGAGATAATAAGATTCTTGTCTATGTCATAGCAGATGGCAGCTTCACAGTATGATCTTCTTTTGGGACCACTGCGTGTTAATTGGAGTTGATTTCAGTTTATTTTTCTGCTGTTGCTGTTGGGCAGCTTACACTTTAAAAAGTAAGTGCAATAAAACAAGAGGAAAAGATCATGAATGTCTGAAAGCAACAAACAGAACATGCCAAGGAAAAACTGATGGATTCAAAATCCACCTTATACTCAGGGCTGGGAGTAAAGCTAGGTTTTCAAATACTTTTGGAACATCATGAGGTTAGGAGCTGCAGGCTCTCTGGAGGAATTCATTAAAGTAGAAGGATCATATATAAAAACAGGTTAGTTAAAAACTAAATCAAAGCAACTGGTGATCAAGGAGACGATGATACACAATAGGCAAACTCTGTATGTATTGCATTCACTTAAGAGTGTTATATGGAACAGAATTAGCTTCCATCCATTTTGCAAAATTATAAAATAAGACTAAACACAGCAGTAAAGTCTGAATGGGTATGAACCCAAAAGATGACATACTGGTTGAATTCATCTGTCTCTGAAATCATGGCACCATGTGAAAGAGCCTGAATGCTGCCTTTTTGTTAAGTGTGTGTTTGATGCTTGTATTGTAAGAAAGCACTAGGAACTCTATTGTATATATTGCCATATTCATGCAGCTATTGTTATAACCATCATGATCATAGCAATAGCACTTTAAGCAAGGTGCTGGTACAGTTAGTTACATTTATCAGCATTTATCTCCAGATGTATTGGCCCAATTCTATATTGCCAGGTGGGGGAATTACTTGCCTTCTCTGTTGCAGCACCCACCCTTTAGAACATCCTGCCCTCCAGGGTAAGATCTACCCCCAACCT